CGGTCTGCCAATCTTCATGGGGCTCAGAGGCCTCAGGAGCGGAAGGAGGGGGCCACCTACCTCCCAGGTCCCTTTGCCCAGCTTCCCTGAATGTGACAGCAGAGGCAGGGTTCCCTGGCGAGGGCGGTGCTGATGCAGGCGGCCACCCCTCCTCTGTTTTATTTCTGTGCTGGGAACTAGAGGAAGCCCCCAGCCTTTAGCAGGTTAGCATCCTGGTGAGCAGGTTAGCATCCTGGTTAGCAGGTTAGCATCCTGGTGAGTAGGTTAACACCCTGGTTAGCAGGTTAGCATCCTGGTGAGTGGGTTAGCATCCTGGTTAGCAGGTTAGCATCCTGGGAGCAGGGGAGGAGCCCCGATCAGCCTGCCCCCGGGGAGAGGGACACTGTGGCTTTTGAATTCAGTGAATGAAGTTAGGCCATGGGCAGCCGCCTGCTCCTCCCCGCCCCTCCCCCTCAAGGCTGCAGGCTCAGTCAGACGCCAGCCTGGGAAATGCCAACCCGCCGTGGGGAGCCCAGGGCGTGGCCGCTGTCCTGTACGTCCCACGCAGGAATGCAGGGCCTGAGGAGGGCAGCCTTAGCGGGAACCCCAGCCACCTCTCCTGCCCCTTTAAACCCAACTTTTCTTATTTGACATTTTAAAAAAAATTGAAGTCTAACACATACAGAAAAACATATCGATCTTGATAAAGGAGCATTGACTACCAGACAAATAGAAAATGCACAGGTGTCAGAGATTCCGTTTAACTCATTAACGAATGAGGGAACAGTGAGAGGTACATTCTGTTACCGTTGGTTGGGAGGGTGATCAAGAGTAGACACAGCCCTGGCTGGTCTGGCTCAGCGGTTAGAGCGTCTGCCCGCAGACTGGAGGGTCTCAGGTTGGATTCTGGTCCAGGGCATGTACCTCGGTTGCAGGCTCAGTCCCCAGCACATCGGGACGTGTGTGGGAGGCAACCAATCCATGTGTTTCTCTCATTCTCTCCTCCTCCTCCTCCTCCTCCTCCTCCTCCTCTTCCTCTTCCTCTTCCTTTCCACACTCCCTAAAAGTCAGTGGACACATAGAGGCCACCAGGAACGCTGGGTGAATTCGCTTAACGGATACAGAACTGGTCCGCACCCCTCGGTCAGTCACCGCCTGCAGCTCCTCTGGACACAGTGCATTTTTCTGGACCAGAGTCACTTGCAGCAGCATCAGTGCACTCAACAGCGTCCGGCCTTGTCCAGCAGCTCCAAGGCGGTGGAAGGTTCACTGTCCGCACCCCTCGGTCAGTCACCGCCTGCAGCTCCTCCGGACACAGTGTGCATTTTTCTGGACTAGAGGCATTTGCAGCAGCATCAGTGCACTCAACAGCGTCCGGTCTTGTCCAGCAGCTCCAAGGCGGTGGAAGGCTCACGGAAGAGAACCCTGGAGCCGCACCAGACACCAGGTTCCGTGGGAGAGACCCAGTGGGTGTGGAGATCCATTTCAAGGCCTCTCAGCTGCCCCCTCACCTCTAGGGTTCGGCCCAGTTCCCAGGCAGACGCCCCTGTGACACCCCCGGGGCGAGACCCAGAGGCCAGCTTTGCCTGTATTTACGCTCCTCCGTGTCTGGCTTCTTTCTCTCCATCCAAGTGCCTCTGAGATTCATCCTGGTGGTCGCACAGGCCAGTCGTTCACTCCTTTCCATCCACGTGCAGAGGCCCCTGGGCGAGGAGACCGCGTGTCCATGCGGCTGTGGGGGGCCTGGCGTGGCTCCCGGTTTTAGGAACAGATGGTGCCGGGGAGCCTCCTGGGCACGTCATTCGGTGCCCACGTGCTTGGCTTCCTGTTGGGTGGGATTCCTGGAGGTCGTGGAGGGGAGGCGTGGTTAGTTGTAGTGGCTTCTAGCAGGTCCCACCATTTCCACCAGGAGGTGGGCGTTTTCTCCCTCTTATTGTTGGTCCCTCCTTCCAGCTTCCGGCTCCAGGATGGTTTCCTGAACTCCCCTAAGCCTTGGGGACCTAAGGAAACTTCCTCCCCGAGAAGTTTAGGCTCCTGCCTACAGTCATTTGTATGTGTTTTAAAGTTTTAAAATTTATTTTTTGTTAATCTTCAGCCGAGAATATTTTTAGAGAGAGTGGAAGGGAGGGAAGAAGGGGGGAGAGAGAGGAACATCGATGTGAGAGTGATACATCGATTGCCACCCAAATGCACCCCAACCAGGGCCGGGGATCGAACCTGCAACCCAGGTACGTGCCCTTGACTGGGAATCAAACCCGAGACCCTTCGGGGCCCAGGCCGACACTAACCACTGAGCTGCACTGGCCAGGGCCCTAAGGTCACTTAAAAATAACTACAGTCTCAGCAGCCAGCAGGATGCTTTCAAAGTGCAGGTGGGAGAGATCGGTCCCTCCCGGTCAGAGATCGCCAGGGCTCTAAGTGGTAGAGAACCTGTAGTGAAGCAAACAGCCTCGCCTTTGGATGTGCAAATGGAGGGGAGGGTCAGCTGACTTACATCCCCTTCTGGGGAAGAACCCAGCTGCTGGCTATTTGCAAACCCATCTCAACTCTCCTCACCTGCAAATGCGTCTGTCCTGTGATCTCTCCTTTGAACTGGCTTCCCTCATTAATAATGAGTTGAATAAAATCTTTAAGACCGGTTCGTTTTTTTAAAAAGTATTCTTTTTTAAATTTTTAATACATTTTTATTGATTTTAGAGAGGAAAGGAGAGGGATAGAGAGATAGAAACATCAATGATGAGAATCATTGATCGGCTGCCTCCTGCACGCCCCCTACTGGGGATCAAGCCCGCAACCCAGGCATGTGCCCTTGGCCCAAATTGAACCTGGGACCCTTCAGTCCGCAGGCCGACGCTCTATCCACTGAGCCAAACCGGCTAGGGCAAGACTGGTTCATTTTTAAAAATATTGTTATTGATTTCAGAGAGGAAGGGAGAGGGCGAGAGAGATGGAAACGTCAATGTTGAGAGAGAATCATTGATCGGCCGCCTCCTGCACGCCCCCTACTGGGGATCGAGCCCTCACCCCTGGCATGTGCCCTTGACTGGAATTGAACCCCTGGACCCTTCGGATACTCTATCCACTGAGCCAAACCAGCTAGGGAAATATTGGTTCATTTTTTAAATCAATATGAGAGTCATAATGTTACTTTTAAAAAAATCTTTTAACACTGACCTTCCCCAACCCAGCCTTTCTGTACCCCATTGCTGTGTTCACTTTCCTCAGGGCTGGGTCATCGTCTGCGGCTACTTTGTTCATTTATTTCTTTACTTGGTTTTCGTGGGTCTTTCCCTCCTGTCCCGGTCGCTATGCGGAGCAGGAACTTCAAAAGATAATGGGCCGAGGGAAGGGAGGTAGATCGGCAGCCGCCGCCCGTGCTGGGGTGACACCACCCCTTCCCTGGGCCTTCTCTCCTGCGGGCCGTCCGTCCGTCTTGTCTGTGTTCGCCCCGTGGCGTTCCCATGGTCCTCCCGGCAGGTCACACGAGGCCAGGCCAGCCCCCACTTGACGTTCCTGACAGGTGAATAAATCATGCTTTTATGGCTTGCGTCAGGCTTGGGGCCCGGCAGACTGATAAGCAACCGGTGAGGTTGGGTAACCTGGGAGGTGAGAGAGCCTCCTGCAGGAGCCGGCTCTGGCTCTCCGCCCCCCACAAGGACCTGGGGCTCCGGGAGGCCAAGAACTGTGCCAGGGTCAGGGCGGGGCCCGGCTCCTCTGACTCAGAGGTCAGCCCTGGTTTCAATAGTAAAAACCAGCAGGAGCCCGTGGCGTGTGCCGGGCCTGCCAGGGATCCGTGTCCATGAACTTACCCTGACGGCAGCACGGCTTCCAGACGAGGAGGCCGAGGTCCGGGGAGGGAGCGACTCAGCTCCCACAGCAGAGAGGCCTGGAGCCGGGGCTTCAGCACCAAACGGAAGACACTAGAGCAGCGGTTCTTAACCTGTGGGTCGCGACCCCTTTGGCGGTCGAACGACCCTTTCACAGGGGTCGCCTAAGACCATCCTGCAGATCAGATATTTACATGACGATTCATAACAGTAGCAACATTACAGCTATGAAGTAGCAACGAAAATAATTTTATGGTTGGGTCACAACATGAGGAACTGTATTTAAAGGGCCAGAAGGTTGAGAACCACTGTGCTAGAGGAACCGCAAGGACTTGCTGGACATTTATTCCAAGGCCCTGAGCTGAGGGCTTTACATGCATCGTCTCATTTCCTCTCCTTTTTTTTAAAAATATGTTTTTATTGATTTCAAAGAGAGAAAGGAAGGGAGAGGGATCGAGAGATAGAAACATCAATGCTGAGAGAGAATCATGGATTGGCTGCCTCCTGCACGCCCCCTACTGGGGATTGAGCCTGAAACTCAGGCATGTGCCCTGACCGGGAATCGAACCGGCGACCTCTCAAAGCACAGGATGATGCTCAACCAACTGAGCCACACTGGCCGGGCTCATTTCCTCTGCTTGACACCCGATGAGGGGGTGCTAGCACACGCAGCAAGGCGCAGGCGGTTCAAGACCACCCTTGCTTTTGACACCAACTTAAAGTTCAAGGGTTTCCAATAATTCACTGGAAGGATACAAAGAGCTCAGAAAAGCCATCCCACCCATGCTTACGGTGCGTTACAGTGAGAGGATGCTGATTCAATCGGCCAAGGGAAGCGGGGCACAGGGCCGGACCCAGGAGACGTCCGTGCCAGTTGCCGGTTGTCCTCTCGCCGTGGAGTCGTGCCCACAGCGCTGACTTCTCCCAGCCATGCCCAGTGGCAATATACAGGCACACGCCGCCTAGCGCCGGGTGCGCTCTGAGAAACGGGCCATTCGGCGATTTTGCTGCTCTGCGAACGTCACAGAGTGCGTGCCACTCCCCCGGTGGCACAGCTTACCACACACCCAGGCTGTACGGCCAGCCCGCTGCTCCCAGGCTACAGGCCTGGACAGCACGTTCCTATACAAAACAACACGAGATTAAATCAAGTACAAGAGAAGACGATGCCATCAGGGGCGCGGTAAACGAGAGATGCATGAGGCTGCAGGTGCCGCACAACTTACTGTTTATAGCAAACTTTAAAAATAGATTTTATTGATTTCGGGGAGGAAGGGAGAGGGAGAGAGAGAGAGAGGCATCGATGATGAGAGAGAATCATGGATCGGCTGCCTCCTGCACACCCCCTACTGGGGATGAGCCCGAAACCTGGGCATGTGCCCTGACCGGGAATCCAACCCGTGTGGGACCTCCTGGGTCATAGGTCGATGCTCAACCACTGAGCCACGTGGGGTCGGGCCAGGTCTTGTTGACTTTTTTCTTTTTAATCTTCACCCGAGGATATTTTTTCTATTGATTTTTCAGAGAGAGTGGGAGAGACAGAGAGAAACACTGATGTGAGAGAGACACATCGATTGGTTGCTCCCGAATGCCCCCGACCAGGGCCAGGAGCCTGCAACCCAGGCGCATGCCCTTGACCAGAATCGAACCCTGGGCCCTTCAGTCCGAAGGCTGACGGTCTATCCACTGAGCCAAACCGGTTAGGGCCGGGCCCTGTTTACTTTCTATGATCTTCTCGGTTGCCCTCCGGAGACTGGGCTAGAGGCAGGGTGAGCGGGTGGGGGTGTCACCAGGGCACTGCATATGCCTCCGACCTCTGGCCTGGGCAGAGGTGTGCCCCCCACCCGGAGTCCTCAGCTGAGCCGCAGCGCTGCCGGAATGCTTGGCATGATCTTCTCCGCTTTTATGAGTCCAGGGACGTGTGGCCAAGTTTCCACCCCGGCGCCTGTTCATATCTTTTAAACCAGTGATGGCGAACCTATGACACGCGTGTCAGAGGTGACACGCGAACTCATTTTTTGGTTGATTTTTCTTTGTTAAATGGCATTTAAATATATAAAATAAATATCAAAAATATAAGTCTTGCCAGAACCGGTTTGGCTCAGTGGATAGAGCATCGGCCTGCAGACTCAAGGGTCCCGGGTTCGATTCCGGTCAAGGGCATGTACCTTGGTTGCGGGCACATCCCCAGTGGGGGGCGTGCAGGAGGCGGCTGATCGGTGTTTCTTATCTCATCGATGTTTCTAACTTTCTATCCCTCTCCCTTCCTCTCTAGAAAATCAATAAAACATATTTAAAAAAATATATAAGTCTTTGTTTTACTATGGTTGCAAATATAAAAAAATTTCTATATGTGACACGGCACCAGAGTTAAGTTGGGGTTTTTCAAAATGCTGACACGCCGAGCTCAAAAGGTTCACCATCACTGTTTTAAACCGCAGGTGGCTGTCGTGTCTCTGCTGTGCAGACCCAGCCCGGAGCCCCATGTTCTCCGCGGACTCTCCCAGGCAGTGGGTGGCTGTGTCCACAGTGACGGGCTGAGGCCGGCCAGGGGTCAGGTGACCCTCTTTTACCAGCAGGGGGACACGGCATTGGGCTCAGTATTGATCCCGGATCACGTGTGTTCCAACGTTCATCCGGTTTCTCTGACACTCGAATTCGTTTGACCGAGCGAAGAGCTGGAAAATGATGGTGGGGGTGGTTAGGCCCCTGATGGCTCGGTTCCTTCTCAGAAGTATCTTCTCATTCAACAGACAAGGCCACGTGCTTCTCAGACTCTATGGCCCTGAGGGTCCCCAGGAGGCACGTGGAGGGTGTGAGGCAGTGTCTGAGCAGAATCCTGCCCTCGCAGGTACGGGCCAGTGGTTGGCTGGGTAGGGCCTCCTCCTAGGGAGAGACGGCCATATGTACACCTCACCCCAGGGCCTTTGCACTGCCTTTCCCCTGCCTGCAAAGCTCCTCCCCCATGTCTCACAGCTGATTCCTTCCTGTCACTCAGATCTCTGCTCAAAGGCTAGCTCTCCAAAAGCCTTCCTGACGCTCTGTCTAAAGCGGTCCCAACCCACCCCCAGTCACAATCTCATCCTATTCGCTTCTCAGCCTCCATCACTACTTAACATGACCTACAAGTGTTCGCCTGCTTGCCATCTGCGCTCCCCCGCAGAGGGCAGCTCTGTGAGGGCGAGGCCCAGGAGTCTCTGGTTTATTGCTCTCTCCCCAGAACCAAGAACACTGCCTGGCACATAGTAGACACGCAACAAGCATTTGTTGAATGAACGAACATGTCCTTGGATGTGGGGCCACAGGGGTGACTCTTACCATGTGAAGTGGGGGGCCACCTCATGCTTGGTGGGGGAATCGCACACCTAAAATAGCAAAAAACTAGGGGATAGTATCGCCGAAACCTCTCAGCAGGGGCTTGCAACAGAAAAAGCGGGAAGCGGTGGGTGCCGCCAGGTGATTACCTGGAACCTTCCGGAGCGGACGGGAGTAGAGAGAGGAGCAAACTGCCTGCTTCCCTCTGGTCTCCATCCGGGGCAGTAGGACAGGCCCCTGGAATTCCTCTTCTCTTTTGCACAGAAAGAGACAGTGAGGAGAGGGGCTTTCCGACCTCTCTCCGAGGCCAGGAAAACCTCCCAGAGCCCCTGTTCCTTCCAGAAATCCACGGAGCGCCTTCGGGGAGGGGTGGGGCCTACATCGGTCTGGGAGGGTCAGCTGACCGGTGGCCAGCCAACCTGTGACGCCTGGGGAGCAGCATTTTTTTTATATTAAAAAGCCACTTTTCTTGGAGAAATGCGGTGGATACATTAAGCTGTCGCCTGTTCTTTGGAGAGCCGTTATTAATGGAAAACAATAGATTAATAGTTTTAAAACGCATGTTCAATAAGTAATTTTTATGGCTCTGGATAGAGCCCATTAAACATTTCTGTGTGTTATTATAAAGAAGTTTTAAGCGTAAAATCATAAAGTCAATAATCAGAGAATTAGTCACAGCGGCCAGCCACAGGCCATTAGTTTCAGGCGCTGTCAGGGACACCTGTGGCTGTGGGAGGTGGGGCCGGGGACACGCGCCGCCTGCCGCCTCCCAGACACTGGAGGGGCCGGCAGGCAGGTGTGAGCGCCGGACGCCAGGCAAATATTTACGAAGTGCAAACGTGAGTGCAAACCGAAAACGATCCAGGTCAATTTGCACATCGCGGGCTCAGACACTTTATTTCCCCAGCCGCCCTGGGCCAGGGGCGAGCCTCCAGCTCCTGCTAAAGATAGAGATGGAGGCCGAGTGCTTTTAAAAGGAGAGCCGGTCGCCGGAGACGCCCCTCAGAAAGGATTCCGGAGCCGTTTTCTGAAAAATGGCGCTTTCATCTCCCAGCAAATACACAACCGAGTCAAGCGTTTGCGAACGAAACGGTGGGCTTTTAAAAAACGACTTCTAAAAGCCATGACAACAGCGATACAACGAGTACAAAATAACATTGAATGTAAAGAGTAATTTATCGTTTAAACATTTTTTAAAAAAGTAAAACAAGATAATTAGGGGAGCTTGAGAAAATCCAAAGAAGATAATAGAACTACCCATAATCTCTCTACCCAGAGATGTTCTGTTTCTGTTTCATTCCTTCAACAAATGTTTATTGCGAATGTTTTATGCCCGACACCGCTCTGGGCACTAGGGAGGCAGTGATGAACCAAACAGACACTCCTGGCTCCGTGGAGCTGGCATTGGGGGGGGGGGGGAGCTACAGCAACAAATATAATAAGTAAAGTAGAAGGCGGGTTAGAAGGTGTAAGTGCTCTGTAAGCAGGGGGCAGATAAGAGGGTGGGCCTCATGGAGATGATATTTGCATTAAGACTTGAAGGAGGTGGGGAGTGAGTATCAGGTACCTAAGACAAGGGAGCTCCAGGCAGGGGGAGGGCAGTGCAAAGGCCCTGAGGCAGGTCTGTGCCCAGCCTGCTTGATAAATAGCTGGGAGGCTGGTGGGGCTGGAGCAGAGGAAGGGAGGTGAGGAAATGGTAGAGGAGGTGAGGGGCCAAATCAGGACTTCGGCTTTTCCCAGGCATGAAAAATGGAGAGGTTCGAGCAGAGGAGGAACATGATCTGCCCCAGGTTTGAAACCGATTCCACTGGCTGCTGCGTCCCCAACTGCTTGCATTTTTCTTGTCAAATGTGATTACTTCTGCATCCTGATTCCCGATGGTGACTTCACTTTTTAAGCCGGATACTCGGCCTGCTTGGTGCAGAAGGAGGTGGGTTTGGGAAATAGTTCCCACAGGGACACCTGATGTCTCTTGGGAAGCTCCCATTCAGGGAGGGTGAACGAGCTGAGCCTGGGCACGGAGGCCGAGAAAGGCATCTGTGGAGATGGAGCGAGAGAGACAGAAGACGGGGGAGAGCCAGGCTCTGTGCTCTAGAAGTGGCTGGGCATAGGTAGCTCTCAGAAGACCACTGGGTGTGTTAACCTAGCTCAGATGCTGCCTCCTCCAGGCAGTCTTCCTGATTGTTGATCACTCCTCCTCTGTGCATTGTACCTGCCTCTATCTTTGCAACTGCCACCCTGATTCCTAACACAGCCACCTCCTGCTGGATCTGGGAGTGTCTGTGTTGGGAGGGCACACCCAGTGTTTGCCTTAGGGTCTGGCACACAGTAGGTGCTTAGCAAGTGCTTCATGCCTCGAACACATGGTGCTGCCAGATTCACAGAGGCTGACCGACCTTGGAGCGGATGGGGCAGAAGCGTCAGGGCCTCTCCCTTGCACTCTGGCCCCTTATGTGCTCCCAAGACCAAATGACTGGAAAGTTAGCAGAAGTAAGGTTGTTGTTTGTTTTTGAAGATGCCCTTCCCTCAAACTGTAGGAGCTTCAGGCCCCACACAACCAGGGAAGGCTCAGGGAAGCAGGTTTCAGAGCTCGGGTTCGAGGGGTGCCCATCAGAGGGGGAGAGACGCTTCTTTGGGGGCCAGGGCGCCAGGGCGCTGCCCTGATCCAGGCAGCAGCTGAAGGCCTGTGGGGTGGGGGCGGGGGGTTGTAGCTCCCTGGGCACTCTTGTTGCTTAAACTCACTGCCTGGCTCCTGAGAGGGTTCAGACCGCCCCAGGGAGCCTGGAATTTCCCCTTTCTCTTCTCTTCTCCTCACCTCCATTTCCTCTTTCCTTCATTTCTTTTTTTAAAAAAGTATGTTTTTATTGATTTTAGGAGAGAGGAAGGGAGAGAGAGAGAGAGAGAAGAGAGAGAGGAGAGAAATATAGATGAGAGAGAAACATCCATCAGCTGCCTCCTGCACACCCCCTCCTGGGATTGAGCCCGCTTCCCGGGCAGGTGCCCTGACGGGGAATCGAAACAGTGACCTCTTGGTTCATGGGTTGACGCTCAACCGCTGAGCCACGCCGCTGGGCTTCCCTCCATTTCTCTGTCCTCCCTCCCCTGACCAAGCCCAGAGTTTCTCCCGAGGGGGCTGTGGTCATAGTGGGGGAAGAACTTTCAGGAACTATCCGGCCCCTTCTCCTTCTCTTCCTGTCTGCAGTCACCTTCCGCTTTGACGCCTCCACAATCCCCATCCGCACTTGGGCTTCGTCATTTACCTACTCTGAGCCTCAGCGGCCTCATCTGTAAAATGGGCATCAGAAAGCCCACCCTATGAGACATCTGTGAGGGTCAAAGGAGACAAGGTGTGAACACGTTTGTCACCCATCAAGGGACGTTCCGGCACCGGTCTTTGTTCTGTCCGACAAATGTCCCCCAGCCGGGAGGGCTTCCCTGGTGGGGCTGGACGGCCAGAGCCCGGAAGCCGGACCCAGGTTCTGCGTCCCTGCCGCTCCCTCCCTCCCGTCCAAGAGGATGGCCAGCTTCCCGTCAGCGATGCTAATCATATTGCTGTGCGGAGTCACTGACCTCTAACTGCGGCCCATTAACTGTGCTTTCCTCTTTCATTTGCACGTGGATTTGCCCCGCTTCCAGAAAGCAAATTACAGGCTGGGAATCAGAATATTTCAGAGACGGGTGAAGGGGTTGGAGCAGAGCGACCGCTACATAATGAAGTGCCCAGTGTTAAGGTCCAGGCCGGGCCAAGAGAGCGGCCACTGCCGACCCACATCCACGCAGGTACCGACTCGGGGCCTGGGGTGGGGGGGTGGGGCACCCCAGGTTGGCTTCTCTCTAGAAGCCATGGCTCCTGAGCCTCAAGGTGTGGCCAGGCTGAGCAGGGGCAGCTGGAGGTGCGGCCTGGCACCTCTCACCTGTGGGCCCTGCTGGGTGTCTAGTTCCATTGGGCTTTTGTCTGAGCAAGTTGGGAGGAGGTGGGATGGGGTGGAGGGACATTAAAGGTTTGTGGACTAATGTTCTTGACGTCCCGTCGTAGCTGGCCCAGGGGACAGCAGGAGGATGGGACTATCACCAAAGCTGCAAAGTTGTGTCCTTGTGTCCTTTCTCTCGATGCTTCTTGCCCTGGGTAACGGGAAAGGATTATAGACTTTAGGTCGGAAAAGGACCTCAGACGAAATCAGGTGAAATGTCTCATTTCAAAAGGAAACAGAGGCTTCTCTCCAAATCCAG